TTTTTTTTGGTTTTTCTCCGGTACCAGGAACCGAACTCACGACCTTGCGCTTGCCAGGCAGGCGCTTTGCCGCTGAGCTAAATCCCCAGCCCCTGCCAGTATACTCTTAATAAAACAGTGAACAAAAGATCATAGTAAAGATCTTCTTTCATGAACATTGGTCTGGTTATACACACTTATATGTGTCTTCTGGATGATAATTCATATGTTTCTTACTGCAGAGCTCTGTCCAAAAATAAAAAAAGAAAGCCATTGCTTTGGCTATCCTAATACTGAAGAACTTAATTGTGGTATCCCCATTGTGATTTTTGTTAGATGCTATTAATAAATAAAAAATAAAATACCAAAGTTTGCATGTTTTAATAAACTTCTAGAAATTTACCGTGTCCCAATAATGACATCACTGTCACTCACTAGCATTCTAATATACTTTCCTGAGTGGAGAGAACACGGCAGCCAACCAATATGAGCCACAGGATTTGACTGTTACTTGTAGCCTGTCGTGTTTACCGAGCAGTTCTCAGACTTCGGCATGCATCAGAATCTCCCAAGCGCTATAAAAACATAAACTGCTGGTCCCTACCCAGTTTCTGACTCAGCAGCTGTACAGTGTGGCCAATAATTCACATTTCTGACAAGTTCCCAAGTGCTGCTGCTGCTCTGTTCTAGAATTAATAAACTCATGGCCTGTAGGGATTTCCTGATGACATGCCATTAACAATTCTACCATGATGAAGATCATAGTTCTCCTTTTTTCCCCCACAATGTAGTCTTGGAGAGAAGAGTGATCCCCAAAACCCATGTAATCTCACACAGCAACACAACCCTCAGGTGGACATTATCCCTCATATGGAAAGGCAGAACCATAGCTGACTACCATTGTCCAACACAAACCACTGCTGCCCCATGACTCCAGAGTCAGGTTCACCCATTGCCGGTGCGGGTGGTCACTGATCATTTGAGTCCACAGTATCTGTGGTGAAATGAGGGTCACAAAATGTTCAAAGCTCAGAAATCAATTTTAACTTCTAAAGGGTTCCAAAGAAAACCAGGACATGGGCCAGGCTTGAGCTGCTGCTGCTTCCAGAAAGGAACATTTCGCATTTGTCTTCCCCGCATGCCTCAGCTCACAGTGTCCCTGCTCTGTGTCAAAAGCAGCCTTTTTCAGAGAAAATCTGCATTCTACATTATTTCCCATCAGTGATTCTTCGTGTAGGTAGCAGCCATGAACACCACAGGGATGTTACTGAACATAATCTCTTGGCAAACTTTACACAATACCCAACCTTCTCCTCCAGGGAAGAAAGACTTGTCCTTTCTTCATAAACATACCTAGAACTTACACTGCCCTGGTTTTGAGCTGGGAAAGCTTTACTGAAGGCAATATATTGCCAAGATTTTCTTTGAAATCTGATTTTTGGAGCCAAATGGGGATAAAACTAGTTTTTAATTTTTTTCTGCAAGGACTTCAGGTACCTCACATCTCTGCATGCACCATTCCTTCTACTTTAGATCGTCTTCCCCTTTCTGATTCCTGGACTTTAACAACTGCTTCTCTTTCAGGTCTTGGTTTACCTGTCACTTCTTCTGAGAGGCCCCCTCTGAACTCTGTGTCTGAGTAATGCGTCTCTCTCTGGAGCTCTCACCTGCCCTCTGTGTTTCACATCGTGCTATGACCATCTGGTAACTTTGTCTGTCTTCCCCACCTACATAGTGAGCCCTACCAGGGCATTTTCCTGCCTCAGTCACCAAGATACCTCTATGTCCTTATGTTGCCAGGTAAAATTGAGAACTCAAATGTTTTTCTGGAATAAAGAATGAGAGAATAAAAAGCAAGTAGCACATTCAAGGAGTAAAGTGAAAAAAATACACAGTTAAATGGAAAAAAATTGAAATGTCACTTTCCTCAATTAAGAAATGTCGGGATACCAGATTATAATTTTGGCAACATTAAGGAAAACAAACAACAGAAGAAAAAAAGCACAGATTTTTCCATCTTTTGACTTAATTACCAGAAAAAAATAAAGCTTTGCTTATTCCTTGTGCAATCTATCAAACTTCTTCTATAAATTAAAACAAAACAAAACAAAACAAAAAAGCTTTCAGGGAAATTGTCTTCTACTATGGATGGGGAACACACATTTATATTGGGAAAAATCCATCATTTGCCTCTGAGAATTTTCATAGTAACAGAGGAACATTATTACAAAATGGAAAATTATGACGTTAAAATAAAATCTGAGTATAAAGACAAAAATAATACAGGACAAGGTTTTCAAAACAAATGTGTTTTTGAGCTCATAAAGCCACTGATGAGAAATTACTTTTAATATACAAATGTGGAACAACAAGCTGATAAGAGAAATTATAAGGTTTTTGTGGGTGCAGATCATGAGTTTTGAAAGTAGCTCAAGGGAGCAAAGAGGAACAAGTACACATTCTGCTTCTCTTGCTGCCATAGAAACTCAACTGTTATTGCAATTCTTGTAAGAAGCCACCATACAGGGAGCACTGCACCCACCACTGTATTCTTCACACAAAGTAAAAAGAATACATCTCCTATCTTGAATACCAGAGAGAAGTTGTTTCCATAGATACTTGATCTTAACAACTAATTAGGCAAATAACAGTATTCCCAAAGTCTACATGTATTACATCTCTGAAATTACATAGTTCTAGCTACTTAAGAAAACCACAGGATGTTAGAGCAAAGAGACCTGAGCCTTTCTTTCCTATAAGCCCTCATTTTACATTACACAAGCCAGGTAGTTCAACAGGCATATTTCTTTCTTTCCCCAACACTCCTAAACTCCAATTTACTAAAGATTTGACACCTGTAATAGAAATTATGAAATCAAATCAACTTATTAAACAATCACCATTTTTTGTTAAAGGGGTAGAGTCTTGCTATGTTGCCTTGGCTGGCTCCAAACTCATGAGTTCAAACAATCCTCCTCCCTCGTGTACCTGGAACTCTAGGTACCTGCCTCCCTGGATGCCATTGATCTCCTTTTTTAACATTTATCCTTCCAGGTAATGTTGGGTAAGAAAGACTGGCCACATAGGAATCACAGTAGACCAAAAAACTGGTTCTAGGCTAACAATGCTAGACTGAGTATCATTTATCACTCCCAAGAACCGCAGTGTAGTTGGGAGTCTTGCAGGGCACCTCATGGTCCTGATCTTGGGTCTCAACTGTCACAGTACATTAGGCTACAGAAGTTCTGGAGAGAGGAGAATTCTGGTTGACAAAGGGCAAGTGAGCCAAACTCTCCACTGTGTCAGGTACTTGTCACTTTGGAAGGTCAAATAACCATTACTTTAGAGAGGTCAATGAGACCATAGAAAGATTTCCTGCTTTCTTAGAAACTGCCAGCACAACAAGTTTTAAGTACATTTATGATGCTCTCTCTTTCATACAGACCAATCCAATTCTACTCTTGTAACTGTGGCATTGAAGGCATGCTGCTTCCTCCTCATTGCAATGACACCACCCTGTTCCTGAGAGCTGTTAGGTGCCAGAGAATTGAGAGAGAAATGGGGAGCAGCTCAAAAAAACAGAGCTTTTAGCCAACATATGCATGGATACCCTAATTCAGCCTTAGGGCCACATTAGTCATTGGAATCTCCAGGGACAGGAACACTGGGCTCTGTGTACTTTCTTCATGGGGAAAGAGTAGAGTGTGTCCAAATTTTCTTCCATGACCAGTGAGCTGGGCAGAAGGCAGGCCCAGCCAGTCGGTCCCTCGGGCCAGGGCAGGAAGCGAGTCTCTCTTACCCTGGTGCGTGGGGCCGCAGGGCTAACACCAAAAATTCATCCAAAGGAGCGAGTCGAGGTCGAGCCAGAAGACTTGTCCAAGCAGGTTCTTGAGCAACAGGTGCTCCTAGCAAGTATTAACAGGCATGGCGCAGAAACAACTGGGGTCTGAGAACCAGAGAATATGAGGGCAAAGTTCCATGACAGAATGGAGAAGTAGAAAAAAATTGG